CTCATATCGAGACGAGGGCTCGTGAAATCGGAGCTCAAAATTCTTACCAATTAATAGATGTGACTAGCTTTTGAGACCTTTTCCCTAGCCAGGCAGCCACCCCCTATTGTTCGCCGATGAGCTCCATCCAAGTGTCGACGCTCCGCGAGCTGGAGCGACCTCTCTACAATTAGGCCTACCACTTTGGCTTCTCGCCCGGGCTTCCGTTGTCGTGATGGGCTTGCAAATAGAGACTGAACAAGGCAAGGCAGAGTTCATGCCATCAGAGGTTTCGCGAGTCTGCTGCTGCTAACTTGCAGGACCAGGAGAGATATCGATCGGTTCCGTTGGAGAAATCGCGTCTTTCACTCGAATTTCCGGGGAGTCGTGTGATTCATTAGTCCAAGAAATATTTGTTTACACTTCAGCTCCAATTTGAATGCGGATTTCCATGGCTATTCCAGACGTACATTGAATGTAAAAAGCGTCTTTCGGTGGTGCCGCGCGTTTGTGAGGATCGTCTAAGTCGGCTAATAGTTGTGAATTACATCAGAGTGTCTGTCCGAATTTGCAGTCTACTGTGTTGCCACGGTGTCAAGTTTGTAGTGGGGCTTTGGCAAGGGATTTAGCGTGTAAACTAAGACGCCTTAGGCATAGTCACCTTCCATATTGGAGTTAGCCCCCGTATTTCTGCAAATTTTTGAAAAAATTTGTATGCCAGTTTTTATCTGGACACCATAGTTTGCAGTGGGTCTTTCCTTCGTACTAAACCAAATTAGTATAAAGATTGGCTGCAAAACATTTGTGCACTTTTGGTACATGACATTCTGACTTATTTACAAGAGTTCAAAGGTTTTCGAATTACAAAATTGAGCCACAGTCTTATCATAAATTTGGATCTGACATTTTGGCTGGAATATTTCCAGGCCTGAATATCTGGTTGTTCCCCCATCCGCATCTATCACAGCCTGACATCTTACTGGCATACTCTGAATGAGTCTCACAAGATCTTCGGGAGACACGGAATCCCATGCCTCCTTTGCAATCTTGCGAAGACTATCTTGAGTTCGCAGCTTTCCGCAACCCAGATTCGGATGATGACGCTGGATTTAATCCCTCATCCTCTTCTTGTAGGGGATTGTACGAACACTTCATGTCACCCATTCTCTAAATTGTCTTCCATCTTCTACCCAAGTTTCGTCTGTCCACAAAACTGACGTCCAGTCTTCATATGTCCATTTGAGATGAACTTTGGCCCATTCTCTGCGTGTCATCATAGTTTTCTGGGATACTGGAGGCTTTAGACGAGCCACATATGGCTAATATCCTCTTTTTTCTAAGTTCTCTTTGCTTTACCCGCTCGCTAACACCAAGATGTCTAAAGGAGCCAGACGCGAGTTCCAGAAATGTTTTGTTCTCTAGATAATTGTTTGATTCGAGGTGTTGAAGGTGGAGTTTGAGGCGGATTCATCTGCAAGATAAGATTAGTATCGAGTAAAGCCATGTGTCTTCTGAACAAATAATTTTGTATGTGAGAAATCTAATTATTATTGTCACTCAAGAACAAGCTGAGAAGAGCTGTGTAATCTTTTAAGCGGTTGGCGGTCACAAAAGTGATGGCAAACTGGAGAGCAGGTTGGATTTGCATAAAACTAAGGGTGACATGAAATCAAATTGTGCCCTTGGTATGGGCCTTGAAATACAGGACAAGAATTATGTACCCTATCGAAATTTGCGCTAACAGGGGTACAGCCCCTGAAGCGAATATGCACCCCATTTAAATCCACTGAAAACTTGAAATCGTGGCACCATAGTAGTCTGGATTTGTGCCCCCTTGCAGTGCAGGCAGCTCCTTATCCGAGCCACCCGCCCTCGTTTGTAGATCTTTCGCTTGTTGACGTCCAAAACTTGATGTGTACAAGAGAGTTCTACATCGCGAAACTAAGAGCAAGCAGACAGAGGAAGCAACATCTACGGCACGTTCCACTGTACCGCCGGCTTTACAAGCTGCGCTTTGCCGGCTCTGACTAGAACTCTCACACCCTTTGCGGTAGGGTGACGGCAATATTGCGAGACAAATGGAGCAGATATAGTTAAGATTATTGTAGAGACATAAAATATCTTTCAATATTACTCTGTAAGCACGACTGCCATGGGCCGTTATAATATTTGCCGGGGGTAGCAGCAGCGCTACGAGAGCTCGAGTTGGCTGGCATTACTGGGACTCAGGCCGTCCGAAGAGATAGGCCCACCTCCACCTTCACATGCTGCGCTTATCGCGTCTACTGGTACCGGATGTGGCGGGCCTGAGCGTTTTCACACAACGTCCTCGGGCCGCTGAACCCGAGCGGGAAGTCTCATTCGCCAATGGATGATAGCGGTGGCGACAAAGACTTAGGCCCTGCGGACTGCGAGCTCGCTAAACTGAAGGCCATTTCCAACGGATAATTCCTCAAGCTAAGCCTTTTGCTGTGACGAAGGGAGCTCATGAGGCGCGATATCGCGAATTAAAGAAGCATCGAAGCCTCTCACGCTCCTGGATCATGTGGGCAGAGCTTTCTTAACGCCCGACTAATTAGAAGCGGTCCGGTCTCGGCCTGTCACGTGAGCTCGGGCTATTCCCGCGAAGAAGCGAGGCGTGCATTGTCTCAATCGTTCGATGCCGACAGCTGCCATTCTCTTCACTGGCCATGCTAGAGCTCATCCGTAGATCAGCGAGTGACCAGTGAGCTCCTAGTGTGTGTTGGCGAGTCATATTTCTTGAGGGAAGTAGAGCGGGGATGGTGTGCAAAAACATGTCTGAATATACAGCCAACCAGCTTTGACACAAAATCACTAGGCATAACCCTCAGTATCCTTTGGTAGATACTTCAAGATCAACTTTCAAATTTATCATTGAGCTTCAAGGCAATCGAGATAGCTCTGGCACTACGTCACATTCACAGGCTCAGTAGAGACTCAGATTTAATTATCTTTCACAATACACAATCGATGTCTTGTGTGCCTGTAATTTGATTTGAAGGACACGCATTCCATACAGGTCAGGTGTTATGGCCAGGCATCCTTGAAGAGGTTTCAAGGAGGATGTTTTCAGGAAAAGGTGATAGGAGAAGGTTTCCGAGAAAACCCCGACAGTTAGAGATGGAGGGGCTGGCGTCATAATTATATTTGCCATAGTCTTAGTTGAGTTCAAGTACTGTCTCGAGTTAGACATAAGGAAGCTGGAGCTGCCACATAGTAGCTTTCCAGCTTCTCAATCTTTCAATATTTTCATCTCGCAATCTAGCATTTACATAATTCTATAATCTTATATTCTCACAGTCCAATATTCTCAGTCTTTCGTTATTCGTTACATTCTTCGTACTTCTGTTCACCCTGAGGTATCAGCCTTGATCGCTTGATCGGCAACTCGACTTCGTGTCTTCGATTCTTTTGACTATCCTGTAGTTCTACGACCTTTGACCGCCTGGCACCTCGCCAATCGAATTATCTCTAAGTATCCTTCATTAGCAACTGTAATCCTAACAGTTATTAATACATTACCTTCGGCAGACGGCGATCCCCAGTATCCTCAGCGCACGCCGTAACATCAGGAATAGTTTAGTTGATTCGGATCCTTGGGATACCATGCACCCATGCCCGTGATCCCCTAGCACCTATCCAATCGCGCGACCATTTATTATGACTAATCCAAATCTAACGCCTAATGAATCCACAATAAGCACGGGCCTCAAGTCCCCACTATGAACTTGTTCAAGTTTTTACTGTCGCTTTTTTTAGGTTACTTTACGGCCTGCTCACGCACAGCACGTGCGACTTTGGATCAAGAACCGTCTAGCACAGCTAAGAATAAGGTGACCCAAGGTGCCAGCGTTCGTTGATACGCAGCACCTACTGAGCGACACACGCCTTGTCGAGAAGTTCTCATTCCTCTCCATCATCGCAAATTCATCTTCGTCGACGTGTTTTCGCCAGCGAATGGATATGTCGCCAAGAACATTCCCGACGGAGCAGGGGGCTTTTCCAAGAAGTAATCACCTTACGCCATGTGTATTTCATATATATTTCTTGATGCGGCGGAACTTTAGCTGAAATAGAGACCCTTTCAGCCATCTTTTGAGAATGAAGTATCCTCTATCGAGCTAATAATCTAGCGAATAGCTGTTGCAGGGTATCGGGACTATTCGCACGAGCCTGCCGGCGTCTAATTTGAGAGAAGATCAAACAGCCAGATATTTTATCCCCGCGCATGCAGGAACAGGGCCTCCTCGTGATGAAATCGTCGCTGATAATTCGCAAAATCGGCATTTGATAAGTAGGAAATAACAAATTAAACATTTGCCTCGCATTGAAACATGGCCAAGCAAAGAAAATCACATGATGCCACCTGAATACCCCTATGCGTTCGGCGTTATCTGCATCAATTTGTCATTCATACTATTTAACAACCGCTTCTACTGAGCTTCAGGGGCATGGCTTAGGTCTTCTGTGAAACTACCATATCTTGAGGATCTTTGGTAGATAGCAAATTTAATCCCTCAAGCAACTATTGTCGCAAGCTTTGGGGTATATTTTTAGTTTCTAGATAATTGTTATTTAACCGCTGGTTACTAGTTTATCTTAAAATACAAAAAACGAATCATAAGATCACGCTGTGGCTCATTGGCAGCTCGATTGATTGCTTATCAGAAAAGAGTGAATCGACTGGAAAAATAGTAACTCTTTTACATATGAAAAGATGTACCATCAATTCAACTACTGAGTCATAGATTCAAAATGACAATTGGAGCCCATCTTTACTTTAAGATTCTGATGGTATTCCGAAGCTATCTTTTGAGAGAATTTAGGTCCCCGCCATACTTCAGTTTGATGCTTTTAAATACGCGATTCTTAGGACTAAATATCGGAAGATTGACGTTGGTATCTAGCTAGAGGTTGTACCCGCACAATCAAAGTAAATATTTAGAGCTTCAAGTCTTGATTGTTGTAGCTGCTCTCGGACAGTGAATGAGTTTTCCACTTCAGACGGATAGTCTTTCGTCTTCTGAATCATTGCTCGTCAGAGATGCTGTATCAGAACCTATCCAGAGCTGTGAATTCAAAAAACGAGGACTTGACGTTATATTAGATCGGTCAGAATCGCATAGTTTTTCATCATCATTGCCCTTCAAGGTGCGAATTGGATTCTGAGGATTTTCAGCTTTCTTTGATGGTGTAGTATCATGTTTGCTTCGGCGGATGGTCTTGGACTTGAAAAGCTTTTCAACCTCTTTATGCCCTCTAGTTCTGAGGCTGAGTTCCTTGGCTATGTCAATCCATCTTATCTCAGTCTTGCATACGGGGCATGATCCTGTAGTAGGAAGTATCACGTCTTCGCTTTGAAGAAGATAACCACTCAGACATATCATGTGGCTCACTGCCACACAATCTAGACCTGGGCAGACCATATACATCCCTTGACCATGCTCGAGCTTTACCTTACAAATAGCACAAGACCTTTCTCGTTTAGAAACAGTAGCTTTTCTTCCTTTGTCTACATGCAACTTTTGTTCCCGGTAGTCGATAATTATGGCTGCTAGATTTTGGCCCGTACTGATATCGCCTGGGGACGAGCCTTGTATCAAAGAAGTCTGGGTAAATTTAATCCATTCGGGTATACTAGATGGAGAGCTTTGACAACATTTCAGCCATTTTTGGTGGACATCATCCGAGAAACATTGAATTGCGAGGGGCCATCTTGTAAATGATGATACGCGGAGAAGAAGATGTAAATTTGACAGAAGCGATGAAACTGTTAATCGTGGTCTCTTTGGTTGACCAGAAGATTTCTTAGATGTGGCGTGCTGTATTCGTAATTTTGGGGGGATGTGGAGAGTTACGTGTGGATTTTGCCACGCCCATCTAAAAACATTAGAATTGGTCACACTGTAGACTGATCGTGGAGTTAGTAGTATTTCTTCGCCGAATATACGTGCTTTTAGAATTCTACCCATTTGCTAAAAAGAGAAAGATTACGTTAGGTGCAACTTACTCAAATTGCAAAGCTGCGATCTTACTTGGAAAGCCGGTGACAATGCAGGTCATTTCCCATGGACGAAGTGAGTTTCGGCTGGTTCTCACAGCCCCACCTTTTTTAATACCATTGTGTTGGTCTAATCGACGTTCTAGCTTATGTTAAAATATTTACATTCAAGACTTACGAGATTTTATGGCTCACTAGGATTTGGAGTTGAGCCTACATAAACACTGTTGGGACTCTTTGTGGATCTCAGAAGATAACAACAGTAAAATGCTGGTATAGGCCGATCCATTGGCATTTCGGGGTTGTCGGTTTCATACTACTGAGGCCGAGTCCTGAACCGAGGCGACGGATACCATTTAAGTGAGCTAGTGAGAGGTAAAATTATTATTTTATGGAGCCGCTTAATGAAGAAATTCGCTCATCCCTGTCAATATCAAATGTAATGAATGGGGTTTGGGATCCCCCCACAGATATCCTAGTCCTAATTATTTAGATGATTCATGCTACACGTACTATCCGGTGAGTTCCATGTGAAAATTATGAGATATTGTCCTTAAATGAAAATTTCAAGTCATATGACCGGGATTTTCACAATGAGTCGAGTTGTAATGCCACCATGTTACGAGGGTCCAAATTTTAGTGTCCAAAAAGGGCATTAGATATCATCCTAGCTTGGTACGTTTGATACAGCTCAGCTGTCAGCACGTTTCGAATTATTCCCCTGGCCCGTACCTAACGAGATCTCAGTTTAAACTTAGACTCACCTAATGCAATCATCCGAGGTTGAATCAATGAACCGAAACTGACAGGCCGCGCGCCCACCATGGAATAAATTTACATGTTAATTCAATTCCGCTGGTCATCGGATGGGGATCTGGACGGATAACTCCTGTGCATCGAATTTTTTGTGACAGCGCACCCAGATTGAATTGTCAGATGTCTTTTGATTGAAAACTTGGATCATCTAATTCTCTCAAATAGGGAGGGCCCATACATCGACCCCTTTGTTTCAAGGATGGTTCATGCCCCAATGGCAACAGACGCTTCGAGCTCTACAATGCGGGCTTCGTCAACTAACGCATCAATCGGCATAGCGTCCTCAACTCGCGGAAAACCAATGGCCAACGGGAATTCAAGTAACCCGGCTGTTGCATCACTCCCGCTGAGTGCAATGCAATCACCTCCCCTCGATTTGGCCAGTGTCGAGAGGAGGGGACAACCAACTGCTAGTCGGGAGTCAAGTAAAAAGTTTCGGTCACATCAACTGCAGGAAGCGCCAACCTACAGACCCACCGAAGATGAATTTAAGGATCCCTTTGCATACATAAAGAGCATTGCACCAGAAGCCAGCCAATATGGTATCTGCAAAATCATACCACCAGACTCGTGGAGACCAGAATTCGCGATAGATACAGAAGTACGTGATAGCTATAAGTTGAGCCCTATCATACGATAGAACATGACAATTCTCCTAAAAATTCGTGACATCTGATATCATCCACGATTACTTTGGTCAGAAAGACTGACTTTGCCAGCGATTTCATTTCCGTACACGAAAACAGGAACTAAATTCGGTTGAAGGAAGTGAGTTGACTACGTTCACAAAAGGTAAAATAGTAACTTACGATCAACTTTGAAAATAGGTACTCGTGCAAATCTTACATATCTTGATCAGCTTGCCAAGTTCCACAAGCAACATGGCACAAACCTCAATCGGTTCCCAAGTGTCGATAAGAGACCTCTTGATCTTTACAAGCTCAAAAAAGCTGTCGAGGCACGAGGAGGATTCGAAAAAGTATGCAAGCTCAAAAAGTGGGCAGAAATCGGGCGAGATCTTGGATACAGTGGTAAAATAATGTCGTCGCTATCCACATCACTTAAAAACTCCTACCAAAGATGGTTATATCCGTACGAAGAATATCTTAGAGTTGTCAAACCAGGCGTCCATCAGCAGTTGGAGTATGAGTATGGAGGACCTCTGACTCCATCGCCTGCTCCATCACCCCTAAAAAAGTCACACCAAAATACACCCTCAAACCTTCATCCTGACTCACCAGCCATACGGGCATCCGATGCGCTAAACGCCACGATGAAAACTGAGAGTGAAGTTGATTTAAAAAAAAACACACTTAGTGGATCATCCACTCCTCAGATAGTCCCTGTTGGCTCAAACTTTACTTCTGTCAATGTAGGTGGGTTTACTCCGGTAAATGTCACACCCTCTACATTTACACCAGTGAATATCGTCCGAAAAGATAGGGAAGAGAGTAACGGATTTACTCCACCTCCAAGAAGGCCATTTGATAGCCCAACTTCTTCTAATAAGAATACTCCCGAACATAGATCTTTGCATCTTGGCAATTCAGTACTTACCAGTTCCAATTCGACTTCTTCTAATTCTGTTCCGAAGCGTCAGTGTAGCCTTGAAGGCTTCGAACCTCGAGAAAAGTCAAACCAAGCCGAAGTTAGCGAAAGTGGTGGGCGTCGTAGCAAGCGACTTAAAAAAAGTATGTTTGGTCCTGTTTATCGATTGCCCCTAGCTGCAGATGAGGAAGATTGCGGCTTCATTTTCATTCTTATATTATACTGGGCTATTAACTACCTCAAATCGTTTGAAATGATTTAGGCGCTCTAAATTTGTGAATTATTTGCCCTGAAATTCCCGCTAATTTTTACCTGCCAGACGCCGTCCCAACAGTTGCTGGGTCTCACATGACATTGTTTAGACCTACCCCCCCAAGGATTCCAGGAGCACAAGGCTCCTCGCTACCTGGCGAAGTAAGAAAAATACCCCAAAAACTTCTCCCTTCGACATGAAACAACGCTGACATATGTCTTAGAAATGTGAACAGTGCGGTAAAGATGAAGACCCTGAAAATCTTCTGATTTGTGAATCCTGCGACGTCGGATACCACATTAATTGTCTTGATCGACAAGCTCTTCATAAAACCGACTACGACTGGCACTGTGCCCGATGTTTAGTTGGTGACGGCCAGTATGGTTTCGAAGAAGGCGGAATATATTCGCTTAAGCAATTTCAAGAAAAGGCAGCGGATTTTAAAGAGGGTTATTTCCAGAACAAAATGCCATTTGATCCCGTTTTCAACTGTCCACGGCCCGTAACCGAAGATGATATTGAACGAGAATTTTGGAGGCTGGTAGCAAGCCTTGAGGAAACTGTCGAAGTTGAATATGGAGCTGATATTCATTCTACGACACACGGGAGTGGTTTTCCTACGATAGAGAAAAATCCCCAAGATCCGTACGCGACTGATCCATGGAACCTAAATATAATGCCACTTCATTCAGATTCCCTTTTCCGTCATATCAAGTCCGACATTTCTGGTATGACTGTACCATGGCTATATGTGGGCATGATTTTTTCGACCTTTTGTTGGCACAATGAAGATCATTATGCATATTCAGCTAACTATCAGCATTTCGGCTCTACAAAAACTTGGTACGCAATTCCAGGCGCGGACGCCACAAACTTTGAGAATGCAATGCGTGAAGCAGTTCCCGAACTTTTCGAGACTCAACCCGATCTTCTCTTTCAGCTTGTGACTTTACTCACCCCCGAGCAACTTAAAAAAGCCGGTGTTAACGTATACGCTCTTGATCAAAGAGCAGGTCAGTTTGTAATCACCTTCCCCCAGGCATATCACGCTGGATTTAATCATGGATTCAACTTTAACGAAGCTGTAAACTTTGCACCTCAGGACTGGGAACCCTTTGGAGACTCGGGAGTAGAAAGATTGCAGCAATTTAGAAGGCAACCTTGTTTCTCACATGACGAGCTTCTATGGACAGCAGCCGAAGGTTCTGCTACAGGTGGGGTCACGATAGAAACAGCAAAATGGCTCGCGCCTGCGCTTAGCCGCCTTCGTGAACGAGAAATCATTCAGCGAAGGGCTCTCATCGAAAAACGGCAAGAATATGTCAGTCTACACTCTGCAACAAATAATACCGAAAATACTGAAGTTTCGAGCGATGAAATGAATTATGTTGTCGATAAAGTGGACGTCCCTGAGGATGAGTATCAGTGTACCTACTGTAAGGCTTACTGTTATATATCTCGGTTCAAATGCAGTATAAGTGGCAAGGTTCTATGCCTGCTCCATGCTGGAACTCATGAATGCTGCGAGACCAACGAGGCCGAGCGCTATACCGATACCAATCATGTACTACACTATCGTCGAACATTAGAGGCCATCGAGTCCATGCTCCAAAAGGTTATCAACAGAGCACAACTTCCAGAGCAGTGGGAGGAAAAGTATAACAATATTTTAAGAGACGATGCGAGCCCACCCCTCAAGGCACTGCGAGCCCTACTAAATGAAGGTGAACGTATACCGTATGAACTGAAATCACTTCCAGATCTACGTGCCTTTGTCGAGCGATGTAATGAATGGGTGGATGAGGCTACCGGCTTCACCGTTAGAAAACTTCAAAATCGTCGCAAGAATGAACGTGTTTGGAGAAAGAATAGCAAGTCGACTGAAATAGAAGAACGTGACCGCGGATTCCGAAACGTTGAAAACCTATTTAAGCTAATCGAGCAAGCAAAAAAATTGGGATTTACCTGTACTGAAACTACGCAACTGAACGAGAGGGCATGGGCTATCAAGCAGTTTTGTCATGACGCAAATGATGCTCTAAACCATGTTGTTTTACGTAAGACTCGGGATTTTGAGGATCTTCTTGAACATGGCAAGGAGTTTAACGTTTACATGCCTGAAGTTGAGAAACTAGAGAGAGTCGTACAGCAAATGAAGTGGAATGATCGTGCTCGTGACACTCGTGGAATGCTTTTAAGCCTTAAGGACGTTTCAAGCCTAATTGAGGACGGTGTCAAACTTGAGATTCCTGATTACAATGATTATCTTACTCATTATAGAGAACAATACTCCCAAGGTCTAGCATGGGAGGAAAAGGCTAAAGAGCTAATAAAGGCAGAGATTGTTCATTATCCACAGCTTGAGGCGCTCTCGCAACAAGCTCAGGCAATGGCACTCCCTGTATCACCAGAAACTCTGGGTGCTGTCAACCAAATATTAAATACGCAACGAGAAGCTCACAGAAAAATTGCTGCGTTACTTGATCGAAGTCGGAATCCAGATATTACCATGCGGCCAACTTACTCTGAAGTCCGTGAAACAATGGAACGCCTGGCAGAAATGTATAATAAACCCAACGGAACAGCTGATCTTGAAAAAGAGCTTAAGCGACATGAGGATTGGATGCGCAGAGGAAAAAAGCTTTTCGGGAAAGCTAATGCTCCTCTTCATATTCTCAAGACCCATATGGAATATGTCCTAGTTCGAAATTTGGACTGTTTTGATATCAAAGCTGATAAGCCTAGGATGCCTGCAGAACCTGCATCAAGAGATATTACTCCAGTTGATGATGACAATAAATCGCACAGTTGGGAAAACCCAAGATTCCGCGAAGTTTTCTGTATCTGTCGGAAAGTTGAAGCTGGAATGATGATTGAGTGCGAACTTTGTCATGAATGGTAAGCTTTTCTCCAAATCATGAAAAATTACGATCCTACTAACTCCAATCAGGTATCACGGTAAATGTCTTAAGATTGCACGCGGGAAAGTTAAAGACGACGACAAGTACACGTGCCCTATTTGCGATTGGCGTGTAAAAATACCTCGAGATGCAGCTCGACCAAAAATTGAAGATCTTCAAAGCTGGCAAGATGATATTGTAAATCTACCGTTTCAGCCTGACGAAGAAATCGTTTTGGACAAAATTATTAAAAATGCATTGGAATTTCGACAACATGTGGCACCTTTCTGCAATCCTGTCATGGCAACTGCTGAAGAATGCGAGACTCAGCGCTTCTATCTTCGTAAAATCGAGGGGGCAGAAATTCTGTTAGCTTTTGAGAACAACTTCTTTCGACAAGAACTCCACAGATGGTCTCCTGTCGCTCTAGAGCCGCCACCAATACTTCAGATTTCCAAATCGACTCGTAAGCCTCGTCCGACAAAGCTGCAAAAACTAATGGCTCACCATGGAGTTGATGATCCTGAGGCTTTGCCTCAAAATCTTAAAGCCCGATCACATAACTTTAAGCGAAAATCTAGTGAATCATCAGCCCGCCCTTCAGTTGCAACTAATTCAGGACACTTAGACCCCAGTATTTCGAATTCGCAGTTGTTCAGTGCATCCAATACAATTCTACCAGAATTGTATAGCCTCTCATCTGCGCAAGAGCATCAGAATCCCCATTTCAACACATTTTCTGTCGGTCAAGAGCCAAATTTCACTCTAATACCTCACTCAAACTCACCGAACACCGCTTTTACGCCTAATGGTTTACTCAACTATGAAATTCAAAATTCTGGATTTGGGGGAAACCCACGACAGCCAGGAAGCTTCAACGTAGCAGGCTATGGTCGTATAGACCCAGTAGTGCTTGAAGCAGATAATAACAGTCCAATGAGAGATTCGTTTGCCGCTAGCAGTCATAGAACTACAGGTATTTTCGATGATTTAACAAACGATATTGACGATAATGTAAGTAAAGATGAGAAATCGTCACCAAGACCGGAAAAAGATAGGTGGGAGGCAGATGAAGAGATGGAAATGTTCATTAACGGCCCCTAAAAAGCCTCTTATTCTGGTTGTTATGTAATTTTTGGAAATGGCGTAAATGTGTGTCAATATGATTCCTACTATGATTGCTGGAGTTCCAGTGGGAAATAAGCGATCGATACACTGTATTTTTGAGCGTATAGCCTGATGACCGGGGCTGTGATCTTTGTAAAAATATGAATGTATTACATTATATGAACATGGCGTTGTTAAGGCTGTTCAATACAAAGTTAAAATTAGCCATTTTACGTTGCGTGAGGGTACGAGCTAAGAGAACTAGGTCTTTATGCAATAATATATATTGCTGTTAAACTTAACTCTACATCCACTGACTAACATGACTGTGTTAATTGAATTATTAACAGTCTGAATTCCCATCCAACAGACAATTCCAACTGCACGCAGAGAAATCAAATATTTTAATCAAGAAAAGTCAAGTAAACGCGATCATAATAGGAGAGATGATATAGCGGAATGGACCCTAATCTGCAGCAACATCGAGTCTAAAACAGGACAGAAAGTAGCCGGTAAGAACGCCGCGTTCTTAGAATGGTCAGAATCCTGGACGAGTCAGAAGAAGGAGCGACATTTGGGTCCTCGAGCGCAAGCTGTTGGAAAATATACTCTGTGCGATATTATATAGATATATATGATGAAGTAAAGAAGACTTCATATTTTACAGCTATGGGAACATTTGTTAGAGTATAGAGAAGACTTCGGAGTAAGAATTGCCTGAGAACGGAGACGAAGTTCAGGCAAGATGCCTGCAACCACATTGGTCGATAGAAAGAAAAGCAGGAAACTGTATTTTCAAAAACATTGGACTTATATATACATCTTAGGAGAGAAATTCCCAATAGTCTTTTTATTTTTTTGCATCAGATTTTAATTGCGTACGCAGCTATCTAGCTATGACACAATATCAAAGAAAAGTACAGAAAAGTTGACTCAATTTAGAAGAGGAGCACTCATGCTTCGGATTTCATTTGCAAGTACCACTGCGAAGTTATGGCAGCTTTTTCTTCACCCCAAGTCAAGCCTCATCCGTGAATATCCACCCAGGGGAACGTCTCAATAACCCAGAGTTATCCAGACATGCCTTAATCATCCACTGACTTTCCCCCGCACGAAATATGATCTGAGGTGTCTCCTTCCCAAGTGGAGTAGGTGCCCAGGCTACTCAAACTATACCGGAGAACACCACCAGAAGGCGGACCAGGACACCATCCATCGTTGGCTTGTTTTTATAGTGTCAGCTGCACTCTCGCAAGCTAAGTCTTGGCGCGCGCACAAAGCTCAATTCGTAAAACTCTTGCCAAAATTCCGAATCTCACGCCCTTCGAGGTTATATCCATCCTTCGCATCATCTTGTCAACTTGTCCTAATCCCTCTCATGTCCATTCCAAAGAACTGTCTCCCAGATTTGTGCGCCACGCTTTGCTTCCTCTGTCGGGTATAAATATCGGCGTGGCTGTGTATTTGGTGACCAGCTGTGGCCAGAGAAAGTCGACGAGAGGTCTGGTCATTGAAACGAGGATGTACTAGGTCGTACTTGTAGACTTGATGAAGCTTAGCTGAGGATCGGACTCTTTGGGAGTGAAAGATTGACATGGAGGAGTTATTCGGATTTTTGCCTCGTGGGCCACCTTCTTTGATATTGCGAAATATGACTGAACTTGGCTCTGGGAGAATATTTCACTCTCAGGTTCGTAGAGGATACGGCGTACAGGTGTTCAGTCTTGCCCTCCTAAATGATGTTTTGTATGTACCTCAACCGCAACGTCCACTCTTTTCTTGGAAGAGAGAAAGATCTTAAGGCTGTACTTTATTTGGTAATGGGAATGTTATGAAAATTAAAAAAAAAAGGCAAAACACTATTGGAAGCAAAGTTTGATGGCCCTCTGCCATACATAGTCGAAATTGAAGACGTTGCCTGCTTGGATTGTGAATTCTGGCACAAAGCCTTGCGTCATTTAGCTCCATCTTCAATCATCAAGACCAGTAAACTGATATTGGATTCCAAAACTATCTCCCCATAGCCAGAAAATTTTAAGTGTGAAGCTTGCATAATTGCTAAATTCAATTGCAACAAACCTAAACCAGCTTCGAAATAATAATAAAAAATAAAATAAAATAAAAAATTGTAGGAGAATATATTCATCCTGACTTGCGTGGACCATTACCAGTACCTTCTTATAGAGGCGCTCTATATTACATCAGTTTTGTTGACAACGCAACTCTGCTTTCTTCAGCTCAATTTCTAAAACTTAAATTAGAAGCTTCTCAATCAATCATTGATTACATCTCTAAAATAGAAACTCAACATGATTTCATAATTAAGCGTTTCCGAACTGATCACAGCGGGGAATATCTTAATGAAAAATTGAGCAGATTCTTTACTCAGAAGGGGGTGAAACATGATCTCACTTCGCCATACTCTCCAGAATCAGAAATCTCTCTGTGGCAGACTGCCTCCAGTGATAAGATATTGAGCTGATTTCTTATGCAAGAATTCAATGCTGTATCCTCACCCATCGATCCAATTCATCGGCTCATGGCTGCAGAAGAAGAGGAACCTAGAACAAATGTAATAACATTCCAGCAAATTATTGGGTCTATTATGTATCTGGTCTCTCGAAGCCGACCAGACCTCGCATACACAATCACCCATCTATCCCAATTCAATTTGTATCCTACTTGAGCTCATGCGAATACAGCAAAACGTGTCGTACAATACTTAAAGGGTACAAGAAATTTAAAGCTTCACTACAAGTTTGATTCTCCCCTCGTACTGAATGGATTCTGTGATGTGTTACAGTTTGGCCGTTGTCTGAGCTTATGTGGATACCTAAGCGTATTGTTGAAGATTCATGTTGTAAGACTGTAAGGAAATGATAGAGGAAACTGGAAGATACGGCACTACCAGCCAGGGGGCCAGATCAGTGTCACAGCGTAGTGATTCTTGATAATATGTGGCTGGGTGGCAAGTATTTGGCCTAGGGTGTAGAAATCAGTCAAGACAATCACTGAGAGGCTGAATATTATAAATACCCGTTAATTGTAGCTAGATTTCTCTTTCTTCTTTAAACAGTTTATTAAATCGACATCATCATCACCAACTCGGGGTTCCCATCACAAATGTCTTCTACTTGTGTCTTTTACTTGTGTCCTTTACTCGTGTTCTGAACGGAGTAAGTGATCTGTCTTCCCGCCTCCTGTTTAATATCCGAAGGCCACCATCACGTGACCTTGATCTTCCACCACACAATTTGTCATGCAGACTTGCTGCCCAACTGGTGACCACTTACAGTGAGGTAAATATGTGACCCATATATTGTTTACCTTGTAATCATAATATATATATATATATTAAGTCTCAACAATTACTATCTAATACTGCAAAAAGAGAGTATTTAAGAGCAGACTTGGTTGCTGACCGCTTTGATCGAATTCTTGCCAAGCTAAAAGCCATATCCCACCAGTTGCAGGAGAAATATGAAGAATATGCAAATTCTCGAAGATTAGAAGCCCCAGTCTACAGAGTAGGAGACAAGTTAATGATTTGCCTCAGAAACCTGAAGACAAACCGACCAAAGAGAAAATGGGATGATAGATGGGACGGTCCTTTCACAGTATTAAAAACATATGATGGAGCTGTTATCATTGATCTCCCAGATCATATTCATGTAAACAATAGTTTCCACACCTCTTTGGTTCGACCTTGGAAAGATCCTGTAGTACCCGGGCAATCTTCTGTCAATAAAAATGAGCGTCATAGTATTGCTGGAAGAATTGCTGAAAGAGATGATGATGGGAATATTGAAGACAAGTGGGTACTTGAAAAAATCTTAGATGTACACAATCAAAATTGTAATGGTCTTACCTACCTCATTAAGTGGAAATATGATGATGTGCCTTCCGAGCAGCCAGAATCAGACTTAAGAGGCTGCGAAAAAGCTCTCGCAGATTTTCATAACCTAAACCCTCTTAAACCGGGACCGGTATCATGGGTAAATATGCCAACAACAAATAAATCAATTGTACCACAATAGGCACGCCGCTCAGAGAGGAAAAAGCGGCCAAAATAGAGATTAGCTGAAACAAGAAGCTAGTATGTATTTATATAAAAGAAATAGTACCTGGAACAATACTAATTTTCTGATAAGGGGTTCTGTTTGGAGACCAAACAAAATTTAGAGGGGAAGTACTGTCACGGGACTAAGGGCTAGCGTCATAGGCTAGAACATATGTATAGATATCTCTTGTATTTGGACTTCTCTTCTCTTACTATTGCACAACACAGTTATATTCTCTTTCCTTTAGTATCTGACCTGTGGGCCATTGTGACACCCACATCCAGAAAATTTGTTGTGTGAAGCCTGCATAATTGCTAAATCAAGTCGCAACAAACCTAAACCAGTCTCGAGAAAGACGAAATCCAAGGGAGAATATATACATTCTGACTTGTGTGGACCATTACCAGTACCTTCTTATGGAGGCGCTCTATATTACATCAGTTTTGTTGACAATGCAACTCGACTTTCTTCAGTTCAATTTCTAAAACTTAAACCAGAAGCTTCTCAGTCAATCCAGATTAAATCTCAATAATGGAAATTCAACATGATGTCAAAATTAAGTGCTTCCAAACTGATAATGGCAGGGAAAATCTGAATGATAAATTTATTAGATTCTTGACTCAGAAGAGGATCTGTAAGGATTCTCCTTCCCATCCTAACTTTCGTTTATAATTTTACCCTTCTCCTGATGTTGCTATGACAACAGAATAGTTCTTGGCACTGGTTATTATGTTGGTACTAGTTTAGAGCCTATGTTATGATGAGCTAGTAGGAGGAAAGCAAGTATATGTATGATGGCTTGGCCTGTAGCTATAGAGTTCTTCACGCTTAGTCTTCTGTCATAACCACCACCTTCGGATCACCTCTGGTCACCTATAGTTACCTCTAGTTACCTTTAGCACCTTTAGTCACCATTAGTATTTGCTCGTACCTTTA